ATATTATTATTAATAGTTTTAATGATTTCTACGTCGTCAGTCCAGTTACTAGTAATAGATAATCCAGACTCTTGACCGTTTAGCGTTAGCCGTTAGCTTCTCCAGCCAATCACACGGTCACGTGGTTTTTACGCACTCCAGTTCTATAGAACCTCCTTGGTTCTGGTTCACATATATAATTAGGGTTGGGCATAATTGTATCATGTCGATTAATCATCAGAAAAACATTAATCGATTATTTTTGGGCACTTGACGATTAATACAATTAATAACACCAGTCCGCTCAAAGCTCCTCTCTGCTTCCAATATGACGAACGTTAAAAAAGGTTATCATAACTCCAGTTTTTATTTATCTATCAACACAATTTAAAATTTGACATAAAGCCTGAAGTCTGTAATTTTGACATAATTTGGAACTTTTTTTACAAAGAGCAAATCTTTCCCACTAAATTGGTCATGTGACTTGGACATACGGGTGTTCAGGGACTCTATGGCATTAATCGCCAAATGAATTGTTATCGGCTAAATACCACAATTAATCGTGATTAATTATTTTGCCAATATTGCCCAACCCTATATGAAATGTAGCTTTTGAAGTTTTGCTGTTTGTTTCTGCAGGTTTCTCAGAGGAACATGCAAACAGGCGGACGGCGCCTGCCCCTTCTCCCATAAGATCTCCAAAGAGAAGGTAAGGTGTTCGCCCGTCTCYACGGTGCAGCTTTGTGTTTCGTGGGTTTGCAGGCGAAGGCCAGGCCTGGCTGGGCTGTGAGGGAACAAGAGGACCATGTTGGGTCCAGTCCTCGTGGATCGTGTTCACCCTCCTGGCTCTGCTCCTGTTTCCATGGGCAGGAGGAAGTGAGGAGGAGCGGAGCTGGTGGCTCATTTAAACCTTTATTTTCTCTTTAAAGGTGTAAAGCTAAACCAGCTTCAGACACAGCTGAGTTACATTTTCAGGTTTTCTTTGAAGGTTTTTATGGATCCATAAAACTTAACTGTAAATTGTGACRCTTCACAGCATCCACACTACTGAGATCATTATTTCTTCTGTACGTTTTTCAGCATCTCACCCGTTACACAATTTTTGTGTTATTTTAACAATTCATATATGAAAACATTCAGTTCATTTATGGCAATCCTGCTATGACCTTTGGTATAATAATAATAATAATAATAATAATAATAATACATTTTATTTGGAGGCGCCTTTCATGGCACTCAAGGACACCGTACAATTTAAATACAATGCAATAAAACAAAAAGAATAAAGCAAAAAATAAAATATCAATAAGACACCATAGTTTATATAACAATTAACAAATAAAAACATTGTATAAAACAAAACATCCTACAAAAAGTAGGGTTAGTGGGAGATGGTGATTAAACTGAATAAGCCTGTTTAAAGAGAAGAGTTTTAATCTGTGATTTAAAAATGAAGATATATCAGCTATTTTCACTTTTTTAGCCACTTTTTTGCCATTGAAAATGAATGGAGGTGTTTTCAACATCCATATAATCCTTTAAAATGTTTTTAAATCTTTACAGCGCCTTACGCCCTTTTTGTTCCGGTTCTGCTCTTTTTCACTTTCTTGTGCTAATTTTAGCGACTTTTTTTTGTTGTTAATTTTAGCTTTTTTCCCCCCACTATTTTAGCTAAAATTCAGGCACTTTCTGAATATTCTGCGTTATTCTACTTTTTTGCGCTTCATTTCTTGCTAATTTGTGCAAATTCTCCTTCTTACATGTGCCTTCTGCTATTTTCAGCTACTTTTTTGCAACGTTAGCTAATTTTCAACATTTAATAGCTGAAATTAACTCTTTTAAGCTAAATACACAGATTTTGTAGCTGTTATAATTTGGGTGCTAATTCCAACTTGTGGCTGCTACATTTATGCTAATTTTAGTTAGGGTATTTTTTTGCTAGAATTTTGCAAATTCTTTTGCTTTTTTCTACTGTTTGTGCCKTTTTTGCAAATTTGTGCTATTTATGTTTCTTAGATGTTTTCTGCAATATTCAACAATTTTAGCTATTATCTTTTAGCTGTTTTCTACTTTGTCAGCTATATTTTTGTTCCTTTTTACTGTTTTTCCTGCAAAGTTAGGCTGTTATGGTAATATTTATTTAACAAAGACAGAAATACGTAGTCCAAGAGTGAAGGTACTCCGTGAGATGATCAGCTGAGTTTTATTGCAACAACAGGAAACACAGAGAACAACCTGGCCTGTCTCTGTGCCTCTGCTTCTCTCTGTCACTGTCTCTCCACACTACTGTTGAACTGTTGTTAAAACAATTTACCATAAAAAGGTTCTTTTCATCCAGCTGGAGTCACGGTCCTAAGCAGTCCTGCTCTCACTCGTATCAGTCCACCTGCAATGTGGCCTTGGTCCGTCGATCTCCTAGTGGATCCTGYTGACAACGCCAATTTCTGTTGTCGCATGATTTACCAAGAATGCAGAAACACGTTGGAATAATGCACAGAGAGTCTGCGTGTATGGTCGTCAAATGATTTAATTCTGAGCGACAAACAAACAGGACTCAATCAGGAAGCTCTGTCGGCTTGTGTCTGACTTCGTCAGCAGACACAGCCAGTAATATAACATTATGTTAACACCATGTGACAGTTTACAACCAACCACAGATCGACAAATGTACTGTCCAGCCTATCACAGGGCTCTCAGCTCAAAGAGTTTCTTATCAAACAAGAGAGGTCAGTCCGTTGCGGAGTCCTGTTGTCTGGGCCAACACAGATTAACACTGAACATGAGATATATGAATACTGGACAGCTTCAAGGTGAAACAGATAGATAATTAGTCCATAACAAGGCTTTTTTGCTTCTTTCAACTGTTTGAATCTGAACTCGCATTAACACTTTCCTTATTAAACATTTTCAGCTCAGTTTTAACAGCGTTCAGCTTAAGTTTTCAACAAGAAGCATTCACACTAGCATTTTCGCAGGAAATGCAATTTCTCTAGTTAAACGAATTAACAGAACAGGTGTGTTAGCACAAGTCATCACCAGAGAGGCAGGACTACTGACCGTCAATCCTCTAAGGGTCAAAGGTCATTTAGGCTCCATCATTCAAAAGAAACGAGAAACATTTTTGAAAAGCTGCCAATCTTCCTGGGAGTGAACGTCCCAGCAAATTCACCATGAAGGTCAGACTGTACAATGCTCAGGGAAAACGGCTTGTTTTTGGAAGCGCTGAAGGAGAACTCCTCTTTAAAACCAGACAAAAGTAGAGATCTTTACCCAGAATGCACAGCAGCATGTCAGCTCAAACCATGGAGGCGTACAGAACAGCTGCAGTGATCTGCTGCAGGCAAGAGTCCGGATTTACCATTACTGTACATGTTGGTGACCTGCTGAAAGAAAAGGACTGACATGTAGAAATCAGGAAAACTATTAATAATAATATATTTTTAAAATATTATTATTATTTTAGAGCGTATTAG